ATAAAATATGGACTGAAAACACATATGAAATGATGCCAAATCATGAAAATGGTCCAAGTAATGCATGCTAGAGGACTCAATACTCAAAGCTAACAAGCTAGATTGAACCAGAAACTAGTTAGAAATCAAATGCACGGTACTAGTTCATGTCAACAATGGCTAATGCAACGCATACAAAATGCAACTAGAGTAGGCTCGGCTAATCTAAGAATGGCATGTGAAATGCGACAATTCGATACCCGTATTCAAGTTGGAATTGAAACACTATGCGATTAGTATGATGCGCCGAGCCCGGTGCATGCAATACAGATGAATGTTGCAAGCATGCATAGTATAAGGATGTTGAAATGAAACATGCCCTAAAACTAACCATCATAAGCGGTTAAGTAAAAGGGAGAAAGACGTGGGGTTGGAAGACATGCATCACACACACGCATGCTTATTACAAAATTATGCCCTCTCGACGGAGGGTCCGAAAGAATAATACAAATCAACTAATTAATCAACTAACAAGCTAATTAATTATTACATAACTCTTAACTAATTAAACAAATTAATTAAGCTATAAAAACAGTAAAGCGGCCTCGATAAGAGGGACAAAATGCATGCTCGATCAGCTTCGCTTGGAAATCCATTGCCATGCCTCATGTTGCCTCTGTTTGCACTGCTCTGTACCTCTGCAAAGTGTGAAAATTCCCAACACACTTCTGATTCAACCCATGGGCACTGTGGGAGGCCATCGGCCAAAAATCATGGTCATCGGCAAAGATAAACAGGTCATCCACCAAATATGAAGGCATCGGCCAAACACTTGTAGCCGACCGGCACTGAAGATAGCCGATCGGCCATCTATTCCTACAGACTGCTCCTTTTGCTGCAGCAGAGGACAAGTAGAGTATGGCAATGCATTTACAAGACAATGTTTGCAACTACACCCTTTATCATGTTTAAGGCTCAAATGAGTGTAGTTCTCGACCCTCGGGCCACCAATCACGCATTTCAATGCATGATGGCCAAAGGAGCCAAGTGTGCAATTCAATATCAAATGAAATGCACAAAAACACATAAGGGGGCCTTAACCTCTACCATGTTTGATCAAGAGGCAAGTCATGCACACACGATGCTATGCAAACATGCAAGCATGATGCGATGAAATTAGCATGCAACAACATGTAATGGGATTAGCATGTACCAACATGCAATGTACCAAGTATGCAACAAGCATGCAACAATATGCAAGGCAAGCATGCGACAACATGTAAAGATGGGCTTAAACTAAAATGGACAGCTCTCAAACATGCCCAAATCAGTGGCCAAAAGTGCTAAAATGATAGTGTCAAAATGCAAAACAAATATGCATGCCAATTGGCCCATAAGCTAGGCAACAAGACCCAACTCTCAAACATGAGCATGGTGTTACAAATATAAGAATGTGGCAATGCGATAAGCTCTGAAAATATGTGAGGAATGATGCCAAATCAACCAAACAAAGCAAGTATAGCATGCAAGAAAGCCTAAAGCTTAAGGCTAGCCAAGGGACTCAAACCATGGCCACACAAAGCAAGCCCCAAAGGGCTAAGGGCTATCAAAACAGTCCCAAGGCAGGTCAAGATAGGGCCAAAAACAAGCCTAAACCTAGCCAACACAAGCTAGAACAAAGGTCCAAAAGCATGAGGCATGCAAGGCTTCAAAAGAGGTGTTATACTACACCTATCAAAACCAAACAAGGCATGACTTAACCAATGAAAAACAGAATTATGGCAAGGTAAAAAAAGATCAAAAACCCACTTAGATGGCATCCCAAAGACCTAAGCATGGAGGCATGCATAATGATCCATTCATGAGGCATAAAACATCAACTCTTTAAAGCATTAAAGGAGTGACAAGTGCAAGCATTTGAGCATAAAATATGGACTGAAAACACAGATGAAATGATGCCAAATCATGAAAATGGTCCAAGTAATGCATGCTAGAGGACTCAATACTCAAAGCTAACAAGCTAGATTGAACCGAGGCTATACAAAGCAAGTCAAGCATGACCAAAACAACACCAAACAGACCTTAAGCATGGTAAAATAAGGCTAAAAGCTTCTTTGGGTCAAGCCGAAATCATGATAAAAACATGGCTTAAAGCACAATGCATGTTAAGGCAATTTCATGAAAATGCACTACAAGTGCATGAGGCATGCAAAGGCTAACCAAACCCAACCTAAACAGAGGTATGACATGGTAAGACAACACCAAATACATGCTGAAGTGGACACAACATAGGCTAGAATGACATGTTACTTCATGAAGCATACAAGACTATTGTGTGTGATTTACACTATAAGTGTATAAACCATGCATGAAGTGATCAATCCAAGCAAAAACAGTGGTAAGCCTCAGCAAAATAACCACAAATACATGCTAATATTCAAGCTAAAACAAGCCTAACAAACATGATCACACATGAGGCATTCAAGGCAAGTATTGAAGACACAAGGAGAGGGGATGACCCTCTCCTTTTTGGAACCTTAAAACACCATCCCCACCCCTGAAATCCCTCTGGTTTTCAGTGGTGAGAAGGTCAAAACAAGGTGATCCCAAAGCTCATAAAAAAGGCACAAAAGCAAGGCCTAACAAGGCCTAAGGGGGGGTAAACAATCCCAAACTAAAAAGTGACCCTGAACAAAGGTCTCAAGCATGAAAAATCAGAACTTATTGCAGTAGGAAGTTAAGCTTAAAACAATAAGCAAGTAGGTCAAAAAGCTTAAGCCAAAATGGGATATTAAAAGGTAGTTTGCTCACCCTTGAAGAACACCTTCAAGAACTCAACTCCAGCAGCCTTCTCTAATCAAAACCAGCCCAAGAACCTTAAAATCAACCTCAAGATGCCTCAGCACACAAGGATGGTGTTCTAGTAGGTGTTTGTGTGCAATAGTATGAAGAAATCACACTTTTGAGCACAAATACACACACAAATGTAGAGAGAGAAAATATAGAGAGAGATAGATATAGAACTTCTATCTCCAAAATTTCAAAACCTCTGAGAAGGGACGAGGAGCTCCCTTCTTATAGAATTCCAATTCCAAAGCTTCTTGGAGAAGCTAGCACAAGGTGCAAATCCCTCCATACACGTGTATAGAGGATGTGAATTGTGCATGCTAGCTATGACAGTTGTCATAAAAATATCTACATAAAGCAGATGAACAGGGCTCGGCTAGAAAATATGGCCGATCGACCAACATAAGTGCCGACCGATCAAAAAAGGTGCCGATCGGCCAACACTTTTGGCTAATGGCAAGAAAACAAGGCCGATGGCTTCATGCCTTGGCCGATGGTTTGAGGGGATGGCCAACAAGCCACCCTCTTCCCTCAGAAGCAAAAACACAAGTGCTTGGTGCACAACCAAATACAAAACAAGCAAGTTGAGAGATCTTGAGGCAAGGCACGCGACCGAGACCCCTGAAAACTCAAAACGAACACGAGCATGGATGATCATCGAGTGTTCAAATGATAACGTCCAAGTCGTGAGGACGGTCAAAAAATGGGGTGTTTACACCTCAAACCCGCCAAGGGGCGCTGCCCTGTGGACCCCCGCAAGTTGACTAGGCAGCTCGACCCCCGACATACTCAGCGAAGTGGCAAAACATGAAATAATTAACTTCCGATACAACTCTGCAAGGCACAATTCGGGTTGAATTTGCATCTAAAGGTTTGGACACATTACCTGTTCCAAACACACCACTATAACCCGATAATCAAAAATAAGGGGAATACAAGGGAAACTAAGATACGTAACACCATTCAAGACCATACCAACCCGAGCTCGGAACACCACAAGAGACGGGTCAAAACCGGGATCGCTACAGTGTATGTATAATATGTGTGTGTGTGTGCGTGTGTGTTATTATAGAATCCACGCCCTATATGCAAATATGAATGTCATAACTAAAAATAATAATTATTAGTCATAATCAAAGATCACATAGAGAATAATCTAAGACCTTTTCAATTATAATTAAAATAATAATCAAAATAAGTCACAATTAATATCACAATGAGTGATAATTAGGGACAGAACAAAGATTTCATTATCAGAGGGGCCAAAAGATAAATAATTTTTTTTCACCATATACACAAACACACATATATATAGAATATGATATATAAATTATATATATACATAGAAAAAAATTAAATACCATAAAAGCAATCTCTAATTGGATGAATAAGTTTTTTTGGTGCAAAATAGAAAGATAATACAAGTTGGGAGAAAAATGAGATATATATTTTTTATATTGGGGATCATTTTATGTATAAATTGATATATATAATTTTGAAGTGTTATGACAAGCAATATTTTTCATAGAAATAGGGAGCCATGACCCTCCATGGCCTTCTCCTAGTTCCGTCATTGATCATAACCAAGTTGTAATTAATACTATAATAAGTTATAACCCAAAAGTGATGTGCCTTATAAAATTTTCCTATATATCTTACTTGTTTATATTGTAATAGTGATGCTTGTATTCAAAAGAAAAAAAAAAAACAAAGAATAGATGTGAAATTGTTTGTTTAAAGGCAAATCTTGATTTTATTTATTTATTTTTTTGTGTGAAATTGAGCTTTTTTATTTATTTATTTCTTTGTGTGAAAATTGAGCCTATTTTTGCTAGGTTTGAAGTTCATGCAATTTGTTAATTACTTCTTCCAAAAAAAAAAATGTTAATTACTTACATAGAAAGTAATGAATCAACTTGTGCATATATTTATATTATTATAAGGAACGGCTAAAAATTAGTGAATAGTTAAAGGGACAATTAATTGTAGAGCTTATTTTAATTAATTATGAAAAATAATAGCAATTAATTCATTATGTTGTTAGCTTCATTTGTACAACTTTTTAACACTTATCTTGCTTTTGAAGTAAAAAATCAAATTAATTTTTGTATATATTCATTTGTAGCACTTTTTAACACTTCTCTTTTTATTTTATTATCAGATTATTGTTATTAATGGACATTGATGGACTTGAGAGGAGTATAGAAGATAATACCAGATTGTTAAAAGAGCACACACCAAGTCTTGGAACTGAGTTTGAGTCAAAGGAAATTGCATATCAATTCTACAATGAATATGGAAGAATTATGAGATTTAGTATTAGAAGAGATTACCATACGAAAAGCAAGAAAGATGGTATAATGGTTACTGGAAAGTTTGTTTGCTATAAAGAGGGAGAAAAGGATAAACAAAGTGAAATGGTAAAACAACCTCAACAACACACAAGAACTAATTGTAAAGCATTCTTGTATGTCTCTTTAGATCGGGAATTATCAAAATGGGTTATTACAAAGTTTGATGATACCCATAACCATATTATGCATCTTCCTCAATGTGCTCATACGATGCCATCTCAAAGAAAGGTCTCTGAAGCTCAATCTATAAATATGGAATTAGCTGATGCTATTGGTTTATTACTCAAGGCATCACATGATTTCATTAGTACCCAAGCAGGCGGGGGGGAATTTGTAGGATTCATGCGAGAAGACCAAAAGAGTTACTTGCGTGTAAAATGACAGAGAGACTTGCAATATGGTGAAACAAGTACTTTGTTGAGATATTTTCAGAAGCAAGCTACCAATAATCCATTTTTTTACTATGCAGTTCACTTGGATATTGATGAAATGATAACCAATATTTTTTGAGCTGACCATCAGATGATTATAGATTATGAAAATTTTGGGAATGCTGCTTTATTCGACACAACATTTCGAACAAACAAAGAGTATCAACCATGTGCTCTTTTTACTGGCTTTAACCATTTTAGAATGATAGTGATTTTTGGTGTCGCATTACTATATTATGAAACCACAAGATCATTTGAGTGGTTATTTGAAAATTTCTTGCATGCCATGTCGGGAAAAAAGCCTAGTACTATTTTTACATACCAAGATCAAGCAATGGCTAAGGGAATTTCTTATATCATGTCTGATGTTACTCATGGATTGTGTACTTTTCCCCTAATGCAAAATGTCTTGAAGCATTTGGGCTATTTGTACAAGGGGAGCTCAACATTTGGAAGTGACTTTAAAGCTTGCATTTTTGGATATGAAGATGAAAATGAGTTAGTTGAAGCTTGGAAATATTTGATTATTAAATACAACTTGGAGGAGAATACATGGATGAAGAAAACTTGGGAACTTAGAGAGAAGTGGGCACACATGTACATGAAATGGTCATTTAATGCAGGTATGTGAAGCACCCAACTCAGTGAGAGCTTGAATGCAAAAAAAAAAAAAGCACTTAAAATCTCACCATAATATTGTTCAATTCTTTACCCATTTCGATCAAGTTGTTTTAGGCAAGCAGTATAATGAAAGTTATGCTATTTATCAATCTAGACAAAACTTGCCAAGAATAAAAATCTAGAGTTGTCCTATGTTAGTTCAAACTGTGAAACTATATACCCCTCCTATCTTTGACTTATTCCATGGCGAGTGTGACAAGTCTCTTTCTTGTCAAGTAAGGAAATGCTGTTAGTTAGAAGAAGAAATTAAATATGTGATTGGTTTGTATGGAGAAGATAGAGTATATTGTGGTGGTGCAATGGAATTTGGTAATTTAGGAGGCAAAACTCTACAAAATGTTTGTTGTACTTGTCAAAAATTTGAGAGTTTTGGAATTTTTTGTGGTCATGCGATTAAAGTGCTCCATTAGATGAATGTTATGGAAATTCCCGATAGATATATACTAGTGCGATGGAGGCTAGATGCAAAGGATTGTTCATCTAAAGACAAAAAAGTTATAGTGAATGAGGTTGATCCCAAGTTGGTGATATTAGCGTGTTATAGACATCTTTGTCCTAGAATGGTAAAATTAGCAGCTCGATCATCTGATTATGATACTGTATATGAGTTTGTGGACAATAGTATTTCTAATTTGTGTGTAACAGTGGACAATATGATCGTTTCACTAAATAGCTCAAATGCTTCAAGCAGTGGAGGCCCCATTGACATGGGATTAAATGATATTGATCCAAATTTTGAAAGAGTTAAGGGTTTGAAAAAGAAAGACAATATAGAAAAGAGTGGTGGTAGATTAAAGCCATGGCATGAGAAGATTGGAAAGAGGGCAAAAGTTGTTCACAACCTTGCATCACTTAGGTATTAATCTTATTTAGCTATGTAATTTTTATATTTTATATCTTTATTTATGCAATGTACTTATAAATGCTTCAAAACATCTGTAGAATATTGACCAATAAAACAACAATATAGATGTCCAAATTCATCTTCAAACCAACCACATGCGAGTTTTTCTTTTATTTTTATTTACAATATATGGTGCAAATGTAATGATAATGACACATTGTATTCACTTATAATAATTTAGGATGTTCATACACCTTATTGGTCACAAATGAAAAATTATGGATATAATCTTTTCACGCATGACGTTAACTGTCCACCATCACACCCATAGTCGGTGTTTTTGTCTTCCCAAGTATCATATAGTCCACCAATTTCTCAGGTATTTAATATACTTACATTTGAAAATAAAAAATAGTCAATAAATTTTATTCTAAATACATTATCTTATACACTTTTTTCTTCCAGGAAATTTTAGTTGATCCAACAGTGCAAACTCCTATGGAGACTTCGTCATGTTTGGACAAGGATGAATCTGTTAATTTCTCTAGCAATTCACAACCACCCCCACAAAATTGAAAGAGATGACATTTGATTAACATGTAAATATTGCCTTATTATTACTGTAATTTCCAAAAATATTGGGCTCGATCATATTATTGTTTATTCATTTTAACGATTTTGAAATTTGAATTTTGGATGATTTGGTATGTGAAGGAATTAGATTTACAATGATATTGAATATTGAATTTGTTAGTTGGTTCAGAATTTAAATTCAACTTTATTTTTTTTTATTTTTGATTTAATTTAGTTGTTACAATTATATATATATATATATATATATAGTAGCTACATGTACTTTTTGTATTATATGGTTGTTAAAGATTGTATAATTGAAATACCATTTGTTTTAAGTGCTTATATTTCAACGTTGGTTTTCTTTTAAAATTTAAAGTAAATTACATCGGCAGTTCCTAAATTTTGTCAGTTGTGTTGTACTGGTCCTTGCACTTTCAATTAGCTCAATTTTGATCCTTAATTTTTTAGATTTTTGTGTCAATTTCATTTAATTGATAATGACGTTAGGATTTTTGACAAAAAATAATTACTGAGTTGGTTGATGTTAATTTAGTAAATTAATAAAATTTGTCCTTATGTGATACATGTCGCTCATATGGATATTTTTCATAAATAAAAAAATAACAATTATAATGAACTGAATTAAATTGAGACAAAATAAAAAAGATATAGTTAAAATCGAATTAATTAAAATTACATAAATTAAAATGACATAAAAATAAAATATAAAAATATCGGTACAATTTATTGTAGACACCTCATATTTGACCGCCCATAAGACTTGGACACCTCAGGTTGAACATTCGATGATAAAATATTACGCTGTACAACTGCTCAAGTTTTTTAGCAAAAGGCTTCGATTTTTAGGCTTCTAATCCCAACCTTACACCCCATTTTGACCAAAACCATTTCAGACCTTAAAACCCACTTTTTCAAAATATTTTTCCAAATGTTTCTACGATATTCCAAGAATCGCATTTTGTTTAAACTATTTCACTTTTTGGTAAACTGAGTGTGGACAAAGTGGAAATAAATGGAAGGGAGGTGAACTCTTTGAAAATATTTAAAAACATTTACTTATCTGTTTGGAGTTGGACAAAATATGATGGGAGGGAAGAAAACTAGTTGGGAAATAGGTTGAGCATCAAACCATTAAGAAAGAAATGAACAACCTTCACTAAATTAAGAATATTTCTTTGTACACTTAGAATTTAGATGTGAGACCATCACCATTGGAAATTAGACTTCTGGGGCTTCAATTTAGACTCTAGAATCACCAATAACTGAGTTTGGCTGAAGGAGATATGCTCGTTTGAAGTCAGGCTTGAAAACAGATTTTGTTTACAAGTAACGGGCCGGCCACTTAAGGTGGCTGGCCTGCCAGTTGATGAGAAATTCGGCTATTTCAAGTGGCCGAACGACCATGTGTCCTGGCATGCCAATTTTAGTGGCCAACCGTTCCCCTATATGGCAGGCTGGCCAGGTTTCTCGACTGGCAGATATTTTCTTGCCAGCTGTCCCCCCATGTGCATGTACTGCACCAGCTGGCTCAATACAGATATTTTCGACTGATGCACCTATTTTTCTATATATACTTGACCATACCTTATGTTTTTAGGTTAGAAAAAATTCCTAAGTGCCCAAACCTTGTAAAACACTCTCCCCCTCTATCTTGCAATATACATTCACTCTTTATACACTTCCTAAAGTAAAAATTTGAGTCTCCTTGCTGAGGTTCTTAAGTTAAAATTTCATCCCTTGAGGGTGATCGCTTGTTGGTTTATGAATCAAAGAGTAACTCCTCTTCAAGAGGTATAACCTTGGCCATCCTTAAACTACTTCTTCCTTCTCTTTTCTTGCTTTTTTCATTCTATTTTTGGATTGTTTTTATGGGCTAAAACTCGTGACTTAAAGCTACCAAAGGTGGAGGGGTTAACCACCCTTCTTTGAACCTTATTCCATAAGCTTTTGTCCTTGTGTTTCCCACTTCTTTCTCAACTTTTGATCACTGTGTTTTTAGAGTTTTAAGAGACTAAATTATATGTTTTTGAGGTCTAAAAAGTAGAGGGATTAGCCACCCCTCTTTAGACTTGCTTACTAGCTTCAATTCTCTTCCATTTTGTTTACTTTTTCTTGGTTTTTTCAAAGTATTTCCAGCACTGTTTTATTGTTTTTAGGACTACTTTAATGTGTTTATTTCATTTTTGCCTTGCATAATATGCTTGTGGTGTTGTAGTCATCATAGGCTTGGTGGTTTAAGCCTTAGATACCAACCTATTTGAATTGATAGCCTTTATTTCTTAGTTTTCATATTTGTAGTCACACTTGCAAGAATCATCTCTGCAACCTCCCCCTTTTCTTGGTTTTCTCTCTTCTTTTGTTTGTTTGTTTGTTTGTTAAGAGTTGTTTCAAACAATTGAGGTTTCTTAAGGAATGCGAAAGAGACCTTCCATGCTTACTGGTTTAATCTCTTCGGAGGTTCATTACTGGGCATTGCATCTCTCTCATGCCAAAAACAATTTCTTGTTTGACTTTTCTCTTTATTAGTGGGCATAATTATTACTTTTGGGACAAAATGATTAAAGAATGGTAAGGTAATTAAAAAAGGCTAATAAAATTGGACTAAAAGTGGTAGCAAGATAATAAAATCAATTCAGGTTCAATCAGACATTAATTGAACCTATTGAGCCTTAGATCATTACATACTCCTAGTGATGTTAATGGTTCAAGGAGCAATGTCCACTCATTTCCTTGAGGTGACTCCATGATAGGAAATGGGTGTTGTTGGTCTTTCATTTCATGTCATTGATCTTTTTGTCCAATTAGTTCACAAATCATCATGCAATAAC